CGCTCCGCGCAAGGGGGATGATTCCCCCTCGTTGTGTTAAAATTGTCAAGCACCCTCGAGGCAGTTACACAGTGCTTACAACCTTCTCTGGAAGTGAAAGCACCAGAAAATAAATTAATTCATACGCAGCTGTCATCCGTACGCAAGGAAGTAAGCACAAGATGCCGAACACCCTTAGCAGGATGCAGCGCACCCTTCATGCGACTCGCCGAATATCTCACGGCGCTTCGCGCTTGGTGATGTGAGAGCCTGGTCCGGTGAGAACCCGGCGTGCTCCGTCCCGGCTTTGTAGGGATGCGAGGTCAATGGTCTACCAACTACGGCATGCACGACTATGAGTACACCCCCCCCCCTTCGCCTCTCCGCTTCCTCCTGTTTTGAGAGCTCTGTCTGGGCCTTCTTGACCTTTGTCGTTTCGGTATGTGGCGCCGGCATGGGTAGGCTCTCAATCCCAGCCGCTTGTTGGGCAGTGAGCAGAGCACTTCGCGCAGCTTCTGAGTCCTTTCTGTGTCCAAAATTGGCGAAATTCGCCGCACCGAATTCCTCCCTCAACCGCTCTAATTCTTTCTGCGCTTTGTCAAGGGTTGTTTTCACCTTTGCCCCACCATTCCTTTTCTCTTGGTTGGAACGTTCCTGCTCTTTTGCTTCCTGTTCGGTCTGAACACCTTCGAGGTTTATTTTCTCTTTTTCCACCTCGCGCTCAAAGTGCGTTTTTTTCCACTTGGCCTGCTTCACGCTCTTTTTTGCTTCTTCCCCCTTCTGCGCAAGCTTCGTCATAAGGGTAGTCAACCTCGCGATCTCTGGGTCTTTCTGCACCTTCTCCAATTTCTTTTCGAGGTGAATCACACCTCCTCCCCTCCCCGGCCTGCTCCCCGGCCGGGGCCGAAATCGACCTTGTGAGTCCCTCGCGGGCGAACCAGGCCACAACAGATAGTAGGTGGGTGGTGTCCCAAGGTGCAACTCACCGCCGCGCTGGCTCAGCGTGGCGGTGAGGATGCACAGACGGTGGTAGTGGCGAGAGGTGTATGTGGACCTTGTCCCCGCGGCAGCAATGCAAAGCGGCAAACTGCACCTGGTAACCACCGTCGCGGAAAACGTGGCCCACGAAGCTGGAGGAGCAGAGAGATTCGTAAAAACCACGCGAGTAAGCACCGTTCGCGGGAGAAGGGAGATAACCGCGGGCGACGCGGGGGGGGAGTGCTGCACCCTCCTCGTCCAAACACCACAGGCAAGCACCGAGCCCTGCAAAGATGGATCGATGCGAAGAAACTCGCCGCTCGGATTAAACGGAAGAAAACACCCCCCCAGCGCGAGGCGGACCGAGAGCGACAGGAGATAGCAGCGGGCGTGAAGGCGACCGCGAAGAAGAAGGCACGGGAGGGCGATTTATCGTTCGGCACGTTCAACGTACGCACGCTCGCCTACAGCGGCAGGAACCCCATCGGCCACAACGTGATGACGGTCATGCAGATCTGTGCCGCGACCGACTGTGATGTGATAGGACTCCAAGAGACCCGACGAGCGGGACAAGGCGCGATTACACACGACGGGTACGTGATCATCTGGAGTGGTGCCCGTGCCGGCACCAAGGACAAGAGGGGCGTGCACGGTGTGGGCATAGCGATTAAGGAGACCATGTGGGACAGCGTAGGCGAGGGAGGTAGGACGGTGGAGTGCATTAGCCCGAGGCTGATGAAGGTGCGCCTGCAAATTGGCCGCACCTGCGGAGTAACTTTCGTGGTGGGGTACGCCCCTACGGAAACTGCCCGCAACACCGCGGGCGGTGATGTCAATGCCAAGGACTCCTTCTGGACTGCTCTCGACGCAGAGATCCGGGAGGTCCATAGCCGTGACCATCTCGTGGTACTAATGGACGCCAACGCACGTACTGGCAGGAGGCGAGACGGATGCTGCGATGCCAAGATTATGGGCGCGTACGGACGCGACATTATGAACAACAACGGGGAACGACTTCTCGGACTGGCAGCAGACAACCGACTCTCCCTGATCAACACCTACTTCCGGACACCGAAAGGAGGAGTGCAGCATACGTTCCAGAGCTCCAACAAGGGGAAGGAGAAGCACCGCCTCGACTTCATCCTCATGCGACAGACGGACCGGCGTCTCGTACGTAATGCCTCCGTCAAACGTGTCGATTTCAAGGACTCTGACCACAACCTGGTGCATACGACTGTCCGCTCCCCCCCCCGTGTCGCACCCAACCGACGAACGCGGGGAAACAGCGGAAGCAGCCGGATCCGTATCGACCTCGAACGGTTGAGGAAGGATGTGCACCTACGGGCCGTCTTCCAAGACAGGGCTCTCAACCGCCCTCCGCCCACGGCCCTCAGCAGGCCAACGGGAGAGACCGCCGCCGAGCTCACCGCTGTGGTGATGTCGGCCGCTGCGGAGATCGCGCCGCTGGCGAGGAGCGCACGAGGGAAGGGAGGATGGTACACGAGCGAAGCGCAGCACGAGATTTCCGAAGCGTCTAGGGAGATAAGAGTGGCCCAACAGCAGCTGCGCGGGGCCTCAAAGAACAGCGACTTAGAGACGACCCTGAAGGCGAAGCTCAAGGCGGCGCGGAAGAAACGCAGCAGCGCGAGGTGGAGAGCACTGGAAAAGTTCTTCGAGGGCTATGTGAGGCAGCTCGAGAAGAAGAGCCGTGAGGGGGACCAGGCGGGTTTCTACAGGCACCTGAAGATGATCGACGTCGAAGGTAAGAGGCCACTTACCTCCCAGAACATCAAGGACGAGGACGGTAAGGTCCTTCGGGACCCCACGCTTACCCGCCAGCGGTGGGCGCGGTGGTTCCACAAGCTCCTTAACACCAAGTCGCCGACCATCGACCTGCATGCGACCGACAGAGTCAAGCAGTGGCCCACGTGCGTTCCGCTCGACGACATCCCGTCTCTATTCGAGGTTGAGGAGGCGGTGCGGGGAATGGCCAACAGGAAGGCCGTCGGGCCGGACGACCTACCGGCTGAGCTGATCAAGCTGTTCCTGGATGGAGACCGAGGCTTCCTCCGCGAATTCCACGCCATCGTCGTGGACGTGTGGCAGACGGGGAACGTACCGCAGCAGTGGAAGGACGCCACCATCAAGGTTCTGTTCAAGAAGGGGGACACGATGGAGTGCGGCAACTACCGGGGCATCTCTCTCGTTGCACACGCCGGCAAGGTGCTGCTTAAGGTCGTTGCAACACGCCTAAGCCACTACTGCGAGCGAGAGGGCATCCTCCCGGAGGAGCAGAGCGGTTTCCGCCCACACCGGTCGACGCTCGACATGCTGTTCGCGATCCAGCGGCTCCATGAGCTCGCGAGGAAGAAGAGTACTGCGGTCTTCGCGTGCTTCGTCGATCTCACCAAGGCGTACGATTCGGTGGACCGAGATCTGCTGTGGGACGTGCTCGGACGCTTTGGCGTGCCCCCGAAGATGCTGGCGGTCATTCGCCACTTCCACGAGGGCATGAGGGCGCGGGTTCGAACGGACGACGGGCAGTACTCGGAATGGTTTGACGTCGGCCAAGGTCTCCGACAGGGGTGCAACCTGGCCCCGCTGCTGTTCAACTTGTTCTCTGCCGCGATGCGCATGGTCGCAGTGACCGAGTTCGACAAGGACCCCAAGGTGACGGCGGATATGATCAAGATCGCAACACGAGTGGAGTGCACGGGCAAGAGGGGCAGGTCGGCGGGGAAGAAGGCGATGATGGTGACGGTCGCAGAGGCCCTGTGGGACATGCTCTACGCTGACGACGCGGCCATCGTCTCGCTCACGCCGGAGAGCCTCGAAAAGATGATGTCCATCATCGTGCGCGTGGCCGGCCTGTTCGGACTGATGGTATCGGAGCCAAAGACGGAGATCATGTGCATGCTACCGAAAGGGCTGGGGGAACGCCCGTTCGCGGTCAGCGCCGCTGGCCAGACGTACAAGCAGACAGATCGGTTTGTGTACCTCGGACGTACCATCTGCGCGGATGGGAAGGTCGACCGGGAGATCACGAGCCGCATCTGCCGAGCATGGAAGTGCTACCGCCGGAACAGCGCTTCGATGTACGACAGGAAACGGGCCAACCGCCAGCTCAAGATCCGACTACTCCAGGCTGAAGTGGTGCAGACCCTCCTATACGGGTGCGCCTCGTGGAGCCTGGCAGCGGAGCACTACACCAAGCTGAATGGGACCCACCGCCAGTTCCTGACACGGTGTATCGGCTGGAGCAAGCGGAAGCGCTCAGACCGACCCCTGTCCTACGCCCAGGCCCTCATCCAGGCCGGCTGCGAGGAAACCATCGAGGCCACCGTGCGCAAACGGAGGCTGTGTTTTGCGGGCTTCGTTATGCGCATGGAGGACAACCGCCTCCCCAAGCGCATGCTGCTGGGAGCGATGGCGGGGGGTACGGGATACCGGGGCGGGCAGGAGAGCGACTGGGTGTATCGCCTAGGAGAGGACCTCGTGGCGTTTGGCATGAAAGAGGAGAAGGAGGGGGGGAGATGGAAAGAGAGCGCCAAGGACCAGGAGGCGTGGTACGACAAGATCGAGGACGGGGCGGCATGGTTCATGAGGAAATGGCACAGACAGGAGGCGGAAGCATCCGCGAAGCGCCAGCGCCAGCGCGCGGAGGAAGCAGAGACGGAGAGCACGGCCGCCCCGGGCCCGAAGAGAAAGAGAATCGGGGAAGCGGCGGGGGGGGGGAAGAAACGGCGACCGGACACTGCTGTAGAAGCGAGTAGGGCGGCCAAGGCCGCGCTTGCGGCGAACGACGTACCCAACTGATGATGTTGTCGCACCCTGTGTTCCCTTTTCCCTGCCGTAAGCTGTATGCTCTTAGTATTGCCTCCGGCCTCTCTTTGTGCTTTTCTTCTTTCTTTCTTTCTTGTTCTCCATGCCCTCTCTACGATGATCTTGGACGATACCTCGAGCTCCTTGTTATTTTTGTTTTTTCCTTTGCTGGCTGCCTGCCACCTCTGCTGCCTCTTTGGTGCGGTGCCTACCCTACACTAATGCGCTGGTGCATACTGCACTGCTGTAGTACCTGGTACTGGTGTACGTCGTCCTTATATTTTTTTATTTTTTTGTGGGAATATATATGTGTTTGTTTTTCGCCCCCCGTCTTGCTGCACCCCCTGGGGTGTGGTGCAGGGCGGGGGATGCCTGGTCGGCGGGAACCCGGCACGGAACCCTCCGGCGTTGTAGGCGGGTGTGGGAAGCGTTCCCCGTTCTCCTTTTATTTTATTTTGATCGGTCTCCTCGACGCTCTTTCTCGTTTGGTGCGGTAGCTGGTCTTTCTTTCTATCATTTTGTTTCTCTTCCGAGTGGTTTTTGTACCCTATTTTTTTCTGTTTCTTCGTGGGGTCGTGTATGCCGGGTTTTGAGACCACGGGCTCCCAATCTTTTTCTTTAGAGCTAATGTGAGAAACAACAACAACAACCGTGTCCTTCTGCTGTTCAAACTCTCGCTTTACCCATCAAGCTCAAGTCTACTCTGCTCAAAACCTTTTCTCTGCTCCTCGTGGTGCTTCTCAGCCAAAGCCACCATTTGGAGTGGGATAGAGATTTGAGGGGAGGGCGAGTCCAACCGCTTCTTCTTTGACCCTGTTTTTGGTCCCACCACCTACCATGGGTTGGTTGCGCGTTGCATGGACGGTAACGGAGGAAACTGGTCATCCTTACTGTCTTCGACCAACGACTCGAAGCGATCTCCCGTCAACATTCGTTAACTCGACACCGTCTCAGAATTGCTGGATACATGCTGGCTAGATTCGTCTCCCTCACAGCTGGATTCAAGTTCAGGTTTTCGGGGTGGCACATAGCTGTCTGCTGCTTCAAACGTGCTTTCCATCTCCCTTGCCAGTTTCTTACTAGCCACTTGTTGTTTTTCCTTCAACAATCTTGCGTTCTCCTCCCCACTCAGACGGATTGCGATTTCTGCGTCGGACTCTGGTTCCCTTCAATCACCTCCCCCCATATTGGACACCAGATTTTGGAGAGCCTCCACATCACCCCCAAAATGCGAATGTAACAAGTCAAGGATCGCACTCGATGTGTCTCTCACCTTCCCCCCATCCGGTGGCTGCCCGCCAAGGGACTCTCCCTCCCTTCCACCACCCTCGTCCAAGGCACTGCCGCCTCCACCATCCTCCTCCCCTTGGGCATCGACCCCCCTCTTGCGATTTTCTTCATCCTTCACGGGCCCTTGGTCTCCCCCATTACCTGACGTACGAGAGATAAAATGACCCGCGTCAGGTGTCTGTGACCTTCTGCTTCTGCGCATTTCGCTTGTTCGACGAGAGCAGTAGTCCTCCCCACCTCTCTTACTTTGTGGCGCTAACACCTGAAACCCTGGCATTGCCATTGCCTCCATTGCCATCCTCTGATCTGCGCTGAGGCGCCTTGCCCCTGCCCCCGAGCCTCTCGTCGGACTCCTTCCCCGACTCGCAGACACATGACTCTCCCACATCTCTCTGCCCCGATCTCCCGTGATCTGCGTCAGCCCTTTTGCTAGATAGACTTGAAGACACACCTTTTTCCAAGTCACCCACTGCCGTCCCACCCTTGTGCGACACACTTTTCCCCCCAGCGTGTGTGATCAAGGGGGCGCAAGGGCCGAACGGGACTGTTGGGATAACCTACGCGACCAAGGTCGTGAAGATTCCCGACAAGGTGACGTTGGCGGCGTGGGTCAAGAACCTCGCCAAGTACGAAGCCGCGCTGGCGGAAGCGGAGACGTACAAGGGAGGAGGGAAGCGCAAGAAAAAAGCCAACAACCGCTTGTCGCTGAACGTCGGACGGATCAGGACGCACACGGCGGCCGAGCGTGAGGTCGTGGACTGGATCAACGAGCTGCGTTCTGACGGCATATCCGCCCGTGTTTCGACGAAGATGATCAAGAACAAGGTCGTTGGACTCCATCCGAACTTCTTCAGGGAGAGTCCGGCGCCATCCGATCTCCAGGGCTCCCTCAATTACAAGAACAGGCAAAACCAGTGGTGCAGAAGGTTTCTCAGGGTATACCGCTTCTCTGTGCGAGCTGTCACCCGGCAAGGCCAGAAACTCCCTTCTGGCTGGCCTTTGGTCGCCATGCAGGCGATCATGGAGTGGAGGAGGCTGAAGTACGACGTGCCTTCCGCGCTCGAACTTGCGGACGGAGTCGAGTGCCTGGGGGTTGTGGCAGGGGCGGGAGGCAGCGCGAGCGGCAGCGGGGGTGGGAGTGGCGCTGGTGTTCTTTCGGAGCCGCGTCTCAAGTTCGCCTTGGCGCAAATCGGCAACATGGACGAAACCCCTACGTGGTTCAAGAACCCGGGGAAGGACACTGTGAACGTGAGCATTAGTTTTGCCCCAAGCTTTTGCTCGTACTGCGTTAGATGTAGCAATCCTGTCCTTTCCTCCGTGAACGCTTCTTTTGGGCCACCCTTTTTATTGTGAGGAACTATCTCTGTAGGTAGTTTGCGTCTTGTCTATAGTTTCCTGTTCTCTGATTTTGGTCATGTTGTTTTGCAACCACTGCTGCCCTTTTCCGAATCTTGACAACAAAAGTCATTCACACGCACCCCACATTGATGTCGGTTTTCGCTGTTCTACGGGATCCCGCAGGCCACGGGTGACAAGGAGATTGCCGTCAAAACCGGCGGCAAGGAGAAGATGTGCATCACTTCGGTCCTGACGGTGTTCGCCGACGGCAGCAAGCTGCCGCCCCTCTTCATCGTCAAGGGACAGCCCACTCCCAAGGGAAAGTCCCCCGCCGCCAACAGCATCGAGCGCGAGTTCAAGAACTACAAGGACAAGAAGGGCTACGCGTACGCGCGAGGTATGGCCTACGCCGTGGACCCCAAGGAATGGCACTCCCAGCGGGTGTTCGACGACGTGTGGGTGGCGCAGGTGTGGAACCGGCGCCCGGGGCGGCAGGGCCGCCTGGGCGGCTACCGTCAGCCTAACACGCTTCTGGCGTGGGACGACAAGACCGTCCACAAGACAGACGCGTCTATCAACGCGATGGAGGAGTCCAACACGACGATGTTCCTCATCCTGGGAGGCTTGACTCCAAAGCTCGAGCCGTGCGATGGCCTGGTCAACAAGATCTTCAAGGCAAACATATCCAGGCTCTACAACGACCACATGGCTTCCAAGAACGTAACGCGCAACGACCGCGGCTATCCGGAGCCCCCTTCGAGTGGTTTGGTCGCACAGTGGGTCAAGAAGGCGTGGGATGCCTTGACCGCGGATGAAATCCGCTCGAGCTGGAGGAAGGCTGGCCTGCTGCTGCCCTTCCACGGGTCGGGAGACGAGGCCTGGGCCAACACGGAGCTCGGCGCCAACGCCAAGGGGGAGCCCATCGGCGCGCCATCGGGCGCTGCGGACAAGGCTGACTCGTCGTCCGGAGGCGAGAACTTGCTGGAGGTGTTGGACATCGACGATGATGACGACACGGGCGTGGTGGTGGTGGACGTGAGCGATGACGAGGGCGAGGAGCTGTGAGGCATCGGCAGCGATGCTGGTGTTGAGAAAATGGCTTGTGGTGTCCTTTTCATGTTTCCTCGGGTTTTTCCTGGCGTGCCTTTCTGTTCCTTCCGTCGTCTTTGAGCGGGTGTGAAGAAACTATCGGCTGTTTTCTTCGCCGCGTGGAGTGCAACGTTGTTGTGTCTCGTATTCAGTGTAGATATGCGGCTTGTGGTCGTTGGTTCTTGTTCGTGGTGTCTTGGCGTAGCTCTCTTTTGGTCGTACCCAAAGTAAGGCAAGCAGCAGCAAACGTTTTTGTGAGGGGGGCAAGAACGATGGTGCAGTCTGTGGCCATCGCCAATCATCGTGTCGGTCGAGGTACCTTCGATTTTTAGTTTTTTCTTGCTCGATTCAAGCCCGTATTTTGTTTCATTTTTTTTTTGCGATGAGGGGGTTGAGTTATCGCCGAGGTCACGTGCTCAGGAGTTTCGTCACCTCGGTTGAGCCCTTTTGTATTTGTTTTTCCACGCCCCTTGAGGTAGGTCCTTACACTGCACGTGTACGTGCAGGCAAGGCTATCATGCCTCCGCAATATCACACCCTTTTAATTGTGCGGCAGCAGCGGTTCATCTCTACAAGCAGTGTATCACCCCCCCTCATATATCACACCTCAAAACACACGCTGTGGCTGTTCGAACGTACTATCACACCCCCTTTCATCATACCCTCTCGCTTGTCACACCCCCAAACACACGCTGTGGCTGTTCGAACGCGCTATCACACCCCCTTAGGGGCCCCTGCGAGCTGCACTTCATCACCCGGGGTACACAAGATAACACTCCCCCCACAGGATACCACACCCGGTGATAGTATTTTCAAACTCCAAAATGTTGTCACCTTGGTGTGTTATCTTGTGTCATATACGGTAGGACCCGCCCCTATCCCTAGCCTCTCCTTCCGTTATATTACTATCAAAGTGTAACCAAGGCTCAGGAACCCACGCCTCGGATCAAATGAGGTTGGTGAGAGGTTTTTGTCTGAGCCGTGGGTGAAAAGTGGGGCAGCCTCAGGCTATAAAACACGTTACCGGCTACAGATTACAGAATATCTGACCCTCTTTTTGTCTACCTGCTACAGAGAACAAAATATATGACCCTCTTTTTGTCTACCGGCTGCAGATTCCAAAAAATCTGGCCTTCTTGTCTGAGCGTTTTGTCTGACCCCCAAAAAAAATTCCGAAAGCGTTCATTACCTTGTACTCGAGTTCGTTTAGGAGTACTTTCACCATTATCCCGTTTGCTGTCGCTACCATCATTCTGATCCTCATTTTGACAACAATCTCTTGCCAATTCTTCCCGAGCCCTGCCGTGTGTGTGCGGGACTGTGGTTTCGGACGAGGTGAATCCGCGCACGAGTGCGGGCAAGTACAAAAAAACGTTTCGGATCCCCGGAGCNCGTGTGTGTGCGGGACTGTGGTTTCGGACGAGGTGAATCCGCGCACGAGTGCGGGCAAGTACAAAAAAACGTTTCGGATCCCCGGAGCCTAACATACATGTTCAGTCGTGGTGCACCACGTACCTTCTTCCTGCAGGAATTTGGGTGTGACGAAGCAGTTGTGTTGACGTGTGCGCGACTTCCCTCTCCCTTTCCCTCCTGACATCCTGAGCTTCTGTTGCTGTCCGGGTGAGTGTTGCCTTTTTACCTGGTGGTCTCATCCTCTCCTTGCTCGGTACCCACACCATCCCCTAGCCCTCCATGTTCAACCAACCGTGCGTGTTTTGCTCGTCACGTTTGCTCAAGGGGTCGAAGGTTATGTTCACCTTATCTTTCACGATTCAGCAGCGGTTAGGTGCTCTCTTTCAGTAAAATAGCAATTGGTCTTTGAGGGATCAAACACTGTGATGTGTTTCCTGTCACTATGATGAAGTTTATCAATGCCACAGCATTCCGCTGTGTTTCGCTCCGACATATCTCCCGTCCGAACGGGCAGATTCGTGCAGAGAGGTGTTCAAATCTTGTATGGTGTTGGGTGTTTTGCTACTCGACCGGACCCACAAGAAAACACTGTGTGGATCAACGGAATCGTTTACATGCAGCTTGGAGCTCCTGGTTGGTGGAGAGACTCATTTTTTCCTCGATTTTTTGTCCCTCCTTGCTCAAAGGTTGAAATTGCATCCTCATAGAGTGGTGCCTATATGGGTCCGGCCGGTTAGAAAAACACACAATATTTCGAACGGAAACAACCTCCCCTGCACGACTTTGTCGGGTCAACCCACCACTATATGGGGAAGAAACTCACCACGATGCTATGACACCAGTAATTATTGCAATGCTGCAGTGTTTGACCCGACAGGCGTGAAATCGCTTGTTTAAAGCTCTAGAAGTGGATGTAACTGTCGACACTACAGGACTGTACTGTTCGCGTTCATTCGAGGGATGTATTGTTCTGCGTCATTCGATTTGCGGTTTTGCCGAGTTGAAACGATCCTCACGGCGTACAAGGTGGAGTTTGGAGTTTATCTTCACTAGTTTCAATCAAGAGAGTGTGAGCGTAAGTTAACCACCAAGAGTGTGACCAAAACATGGAGTGTAACAGAGGGATCAGCGAGGTCTGGAAATATGCGATAAAA